TTTGGTATCTTAGGTTTCGACCTCTCGGTATCGGAAACAGACTTAGCCTTCGACATCGACGGTTTCGAAGCCGATGTGTCAGTAGCGGAAGACATAGCGACGGATGAAGTGGCCGGCGGGTCAGCCATAGGTTGAAGCGCTTTCTCCAAGAGGAAAACTCTCAAGCGTGCCACTCTGTTCTTCCGAGTTTGGTTTGAAAATTGCGCACAATGTTCACAGGAGTCTGGATTGTGGGTCTCCCCAAGACAGAAAATACAGTACTTATGACCGTCCGGAGGAGCCAATTTGCTTCCACAAGTTTGGCAACGATTAAAAAATCCCCACTTCTTCGACTTTTTTGTCTTTTTCTCCATAGACTGAGGAAGAAAAAGTCCAAACGATGAGAAGGGTTGAGGGGGGGGGGCAGCGGCCCGAAGGCCTGAGGTAATTTTACCTCAGACGACGAAAAACAAAAACTCCCTTAAAAAAAAAAAAAGACAAGAAAAAGGAAAACTGAAGAGAAACTGAGAGAAAAAACGAGAGCCGATCACGAAAAGTGACCAAAACCAGCGATCCGGCCAGACCTCTCGAAGACTAGTCTGCTCAGCGTGGCGGTAAGGAAAGAACTGGCGGGATGTCCGTGCCTGCCCTTCTGGACATGCTCACTGGGGCTCCTGAGCATGCTCAGTTGGGCCAGGCATGAAAATCCTTTTAAGAGAGCTTGCTACGGAACCGGCAGATCCAGCGCAGGCGCACTAGATCCCATTGGTGTGAAGCACAGAGACCACGAAGAAGATCTTAACTTTCTCCAGTTAACTGCAAGGAGTTTTAAACACCTCAGTTTATTTGGTCTTTATCCTACTCACTGGGAGGTTAAAAGAAATGTAAAATAGCAAACTTTAATTCATTAAGAATAAAAATAATCCCACCCTGAAAAGTCTACATCTACAACATTCAGCTGAATAGTAAATGCTGTATGAGAAACTCAGCTGATCCCATAACCCACTTAGGAAGTTAAGCCAAACTACCCAAATATCCCTACCAGATATTTATTTAAAACGTTTTAATGCCATCTTTTCATCCACCTCGGGGTTCCTCTAGGTAGAGGACAATTTAAAAAACAACAAGCTTTTCAATACAAAGTATAAAAACAATTTTAAAATAATGAAACACACACACACAGTTTTCACACATACATACAGGAAGGAGGGTCATATAAGCACATACCACTGGATCCTTGACAGTGTCAACCAGCTTGATGATGTTGGTTCCGCCTCGTAAGTTCTCCAAAATCTTCACTTCTCGTTTTATTTTCTTTTTCTTCACTGGCTTAAATACACAAGAGTGATTAAGAAGTGAGATTTCTTTCAGTGTTAGTCTGCCAGCAATTTAAGCTGGATGGATACAAGGCTGGCAGCCTGATGTACACAGGTCACTGACAAGGATGCCACTTCTGGACTGGGAAAGAGACAAATAGAACAGTCATCCATTAGCAATTTTGCAGCCATTTAGTCTATTTTGTTACCATTTAAGAATGATACAAGGCACCCCTCCAAGCAGAAAGATGTAAACCAGCTGCTTCTAGGTATAAGAATTCTTCCATTTTCTTTAGCAAGGACTTGGAAAAGGAAAATGTCAGACTGCCCTATTAATGAACCCTGCGTGTAACTATATCAATATTTTTGGAAAGCATTTCTGTAACAGATTCACAGGGACCTGCTATCTGCAAGAGTCCATCCGTCATCTACTGGGGAAGGATCAGCCAGGGCCCTCAATGGGGAGCTGTATGGATGGTACGCTAACAAGAGCCCCACACTATCTCTGATACTCACCACAGTGTACAATCAGGACTGGCAGTCGTTTGCACAGAGAACCTATGAGAAGAGACACATGTAACCCACAGCAACCTCCCAACCACCACTTAAGTTAGAGCTGAAGGAGGACTGCATATCTGGCTGGAACTATCTGAGACAGGATACCACTGTTCATTTCATCCAGCCAGGTTTCAGTTATGCAAGCCAAATCAGCTTCTTCCTCTTCCACCATGACTAAACAAATGGGAAGTTCTGTATTCCTAACTGATTTTGCCTTGCACATAATTCAAACAGAATTGAGGGGTGTGTGTGGAGGGAAAGAGAACCTCTTATTTCTCATGACTGAAGGTAGAAAAGAGACTGGACAACTGGCAAGCACCATCTTGACACCCAAAGCCAGCACCCCTCCCATGATCAGACCTTCTGAACCCATTCACCACTTCAATCCCATTAAGCCTTATCTGAAAAACTAACCCAAAGGTAGCCTGAGAACAGAAGACAAATACCCATCTCAGCATCCAGCTTTCCCTCCCACACCACCTCTCTCCATCCCTTGGATGGAAGCTGCTGGGTGACCTTGGGTCAGTCACACTCTCAGCTTTATCTCAGAGGATCATTGTGAAGCTAAAAGGAGAAGAGGAAAATGATATAAGCTGCTTTGGTTCCCTTTTGGGGAGAACAACAGGGTAAAAGTAGAAAGGAAGTTAATGGGCAGCAAGGCCAGACTTCTGCTGCACCAAAGAGTTACACTGGAGGGTTTATGCCTGAGGGTTCCACAGTGGCAGCACATTAAAGAAATGAAAAGCATATAGAAAGACAAGGAGCTAACTCAATCCTGGGTCAGCAGATGAACGTAGCTTCAATTGGGGATCAGTTCTTAATTCATGTTCACTGTGGCAATTAGATTGTCTTGCCAAAGGCTGTCCAATGTAGGGCAGGACGGCTCAGTGTAGGGGAAAGGGGATAACTGGCATCAGTCAACCTCTTCCATGTACAGATGGCAGGAGCAGATAACAGACGGTTGTTTTTAACAGCTGCTGTTACACTGCGGCTGTGTGGATAGGGAAGTGCTCTGTGGAGTAGAAGGTATGGGTTCTAGTCCTGGCCCCTTCATTCTTGTGATCACTGTCTTCCTATGGTAGGGTTCCAACCACTGACTCATGTTCCCTATGTCAGTGCCTTTCCCTACTGAGCCACTAGGTGGATCCTAGTTCTGACCCCTATGAACTGTGCCTCGCGGTTCCCCCATCTGAAACTGAAAAGGATGACTAGGGGGAGGGAGGAGCTGCTAATTCTGTGAGCCCCTGTATGTCCCCAGTATGTAGTCTCCAGTTTGAATGAATGAATTGAATTTATTACAGCGCATAGCCAGCAATATAAAACCATACCTACAAATATTTATCATATAAATAGATTACAATGTCTAAAATATCCAGATGGTAAAACTATTTGTGTAAAATTATACAAGGATTTTAAACTCTAAAACCAGAAATAAGGTGTAAAAAAGGACAGAATTTTAGTCTTAAAAAAAATAAAGTAATAAGAATAAAAAGATCAATTAGATTAAAAACAAACAGTCCTAACCCAAGTGGCTGCCTGAACACTGATGAGCTTTTACAACCAAACAACAAAATTTCGCTATCTGGTGTAGCGCTATATGATCAGAATTTATAAGCAATTTCTCTATCTTATCCTGATCCGAGGAGCCAACCAAGAGAGGACCAATAAGTTTTGTGCGAGCTTCGTTATATAATGGACATCTTAGGAACACATGTTCCTGGGATTCTATCTCCCCAGACGCACACATGCACAGCCTCTCATTTCGGGGAGTTTTCTTGAATTTGCCCTCAAGAACTGCAGAAGGTAAAGCAGAGCATCTAGCCAGCGTATACGCGCTCCGAAGTTTATTTGACTCCAAAATGGATAAGTATGGGGCTTGAGCAACCATATATTTACTACTGTATGGCGCTAAAAAGGCAGGGGTCGCCTGTACGTCCAGTTGGCGTTCGATGTCTTCAATCCTCTGCCTGAGCACTAGCTTAGCTTGAACACCACCCCTATCCAAAAGCTCTTGGGGGGAAAACCCTAGTAATGTAATTTTCCGAATAGTATGGGTCAGCCATTCAGATTGGTAATCGTCAGTCAGGATTAAGGGCACAAGGCCACATGGGTTTAGGTTTATCTTTAACCAGAGAAAAATAGAGTGCAAGGTGATCTTAGCTTCAACTTTCATCATGCCAGTCTCTAGCCGTACCATTGCATTTGTAACACACCTTGGGACTTGGAGCACTGATCTCAAGAATTTCGATTGAACCAGCTCTAGTGGGGCAAAACAAGAAGATGACGCTCCAAGTAGCGTCCCATAGAGCATCTGGGCTAATGTTTTAGCCTTAAAGAGTTTCAGTGCTGCTGGCACATTCCCAAAGTTATAATATCCTTTTTAAGGTATGGTGACCAGAACTGCACACAGTATTCCTTTTTTTTTTTTTAAGTTTTATTTTCATTTTCATAAAACATCATTCCATGATACATATTTCATCAAATTTGCTTATGGAGTCTTTTGCTATACATCTACATTAATCCATTCATACAGACGCTTCCATCTTTCCATAAATGTCTTTCCCTTTTTCCCTTGAAGAACTAAACTTAATTTATCCATCTCTGCTGTTTCTAATAACCTAAGTACTAGATCATCTAGGTTCGGTATGTATTCTTGCTTCCAAAATTTGGCTATTAAAATCCTTGCAGTTGTTAATATATAAATTATCAGGTACTTATCATTCCCTCTAATATTCTCTGGTAACATATTCAGCAATACAGTTTTCAGAGTCAGCTCTATTTCAATCTCAGTTATTTCTAAAATAGCCTTCTGCACCATTTTCCAATATTCACTGATCTTAGCACAGCACCACCACATATGAAAAAATGTGCCCACATTATTTTTACATTTCCAGCAGTTCTTGCTAAAGGTGGGATTACATTTAGCTATCCTATCTGGTGACCAGTACCATCTATGGTAGATTTTGTATATATTTTCCTTATAATTTACACTTCTCGTAAGTTTTATTGATTTCCACGTCTTCCCCCAGTTTTCTATACTTATATTATGTCCTACATCTTTTTCCCAGGCTAAACATATGTTATTGACTGCACCTTCCTTTGCTCGCTCTTCTAAAAGGAGTTTATATATCCTCTGTATCATTTTGTCGTTGCTCGATGCCCAGATTTTGTCCAGTTGTGATTTACCATCCTCAAACCCTCTTTTCTCATCCTTAAAATGCATAGACTGTAATTGTGTTATTTCCCACCATGACAGCTCGATCTTATATAGATTCGATAACACCTCTTGTGATTTTATCTTGTTATTCCCATCCAACAAGGTATCATAGCTTTCTCTTAATAAGAGATGGTTTGATGAACGCTTCTAATGGTGATACCCATCTAGGTGTGTTTTCATAATATAATATCTCTCTTTGATATCCTTCCACACCTTTATCAAGGCTCCTCTCAATATATGGTGTTTAAAATTATAATGTACTTTATCCTTTCCATACTACAAGTAAGCGTGCCATCCCATTACTAAGTCATGCCCTTCTAAGCTCAGATTCCTAATGTTATTAAAGCAAATCCAGTCTTTAATCCAACTCAATGCCGCTGCCTGATAATATAATTTCCAGTCTGGTAAATCAAATCCGCCTCTCTCCTTTCCATCTTGTAAGCTTTTCATCTTAATTCTAGGTTTTTTAGGATGCCAGATGATTTTTTTGATAACCTTATCTAATTCTATAAAAAACTGACTTTCTTAACACCGGGATATTTTGTGCAAGAAAAAGGAATTTAGGTAAGACAAGTAAGGGGACCCGCGATACTCGCGGGGGGGGGGGGGAGAGCTCCAT